AAGGTAAGACAAAGTAGCTCTTTTACAGGACTTTGTCCTCTGGTTGCAGCAAGTGGCAGAGACTTTTCAAGTTCACAGAACATCCACTCATATCTATGTGTCTTCATAATTAGGCTGGTTCTTGCCAGTGCTCTCTGAGCCGAGTGATGGATGGCACTTCCAGACTACAGTGTTTCACAGCCTCTGTATGACCCCCCAGCTCTCTCTTTCCCTGACATTGTCTCCATGTGGCCTCCATCAGTCTGGTTCTTGAGCGAGTGTGTGAAGCATAGACCATGGCCTGTCACACCAGACATGTAGTTTGAGCAAGAACAATTACACAACTTCACATTATGTAACTGAGATCTTGAGATGAATTTATTACCCCAGCACAGCCTCGTCTATTCGAACACTGGGGAATACACACAAATACAGGGCTGATAACAGGCAATGCATGATAAATTCCAGTGAGCAGAGTAGGTAATACATTCCAAGCTGACTCCCACTTTGCTAGTTTATAAGTCAAGTCTATAATATTGTGTCTCTTTTGCATTTGCCTTTGCTGTGGCCTTCTTAGTATGGCTGGTGCCCTCCTGTTGACCAGCTCTCACTGTAAAAGGCCTTTCCCAACCCCCTGATCCAAAGGACACAACTCCAATGCTATCACACCTCCCTGCTTTGCTTTCTCACTCTCCGTGAGATGTTCTTGTCTATTGTCCATCTTTCCCTTACTATAGTGTAAATACAAGAAGAGCAGGGACCATGTCTTTCTTGTTTACAGCTGTGTTTCCAGAATTGGGCCTGGAACAAAGTAGGCACTCAATCAATTAATGTCTGAGGGATGAACAAATGAATAAATGATCTGCGGCCCAAGTGTTCAGATGTAGAAGGGAGGAACTCACTAAGAACTGAGAGTCCAGAAAAGGATTCATTGGAAGGCAGGCCTTGAGAGGCTTTTTTTTTTAAAAGAGGGTCACCAGGGGTTGTCACAGTTGTTATAGAAGCCTGAGCAAGGCATAGGGGTGGGAACTTACAGGCAGGGGTCTGGGCTGCCCCTGAATTTAGTGGAGTAGAACAGTGGGAAGAAGGTGGTAGTTGAGAGCCTAGAATGCCAGTTTATATAGGGTGTCCCCCCCAAATTATATATACATACTTTGAATATTTAATTATAAGGGAAGTGTTTATTAAAATATATCTCATTTTCAAAATTGAGCTATTATTTGTTAAAATGTGTATACATGTTTTGGGGGAACACCCTGTATCTAACCTAAGGACAAAAGGAAACTCTCTTAAGTGCTGGATGGGAGTGATGGGCCAAATCCACTGTTAGAGACTGGGTGGAGATTTCCAAGATAGAGGCCAATAGAAAAGAGACTAAAGACAAAGGCATAGTCATTAGGTTGTGACAACAAAGCAGATAAGGTGATGATCAATGGACAGAAAGGAGGAACATGATGAAGGATCAATTAAACTTGGTCCAGAAAAGTTCCCTCTCTGCCCAATGCCACACAGTGGGAGTGGGAGGAAGAAAGAACCAGGTTTAGAACTCGCAGGTTCTTTTCACTGGGCTCCTAATTCCGTGGTCCTTCCACCACACAGCAGCACCTCTCTGAGCCCCTGGAGACATCCAATCTAACAAAGAGAGGATCAATGACCTGGGATAATGCCTACATGGGTTCCTGAGTGGAGACCCAGCACACCACATCAATCAGGGCAGTAAGGAGCTTGACTTAAAAACAGCAGAAAACAGCCGAGACCAGTTTGGCTCAATGGATAGAGCGTCGGCTTGGGGACTGAAGGGTCCCAGGTTTGATTCTGGTCAAGGGCATGTACCTTGGTTACTGGGGCATATCCCCAGTAGGGGGTGTGCAAGAGGCAGCTGATCGATGACTCTCTCTCATCGATGTTTCTAACTCTGTCTCCCTTCCTCTCTGTACAAAATCAATAAAATATATTAAAAAAAAAAAAAACAGCAGAAAACACATTTGCATTTTAGAGATAGAATCTGAGTTTAAACCTCCAAATAATGAGGATTTAACTCTTTCCTTGCTGACCACACATCGTTTATGTGAAGATGGAAGGGGATACAGAATATATGTATTTTCAGTTTAAAAACAATTGATGAGCATTACTATCACAAAGAACAAAATACGTTTACTAAAATTTCATCTCCTTTCCAGTGTACATACTTTCTTATGGAGGACTGAGTGTTGGGTTAGCAGCCTGGAGGGGCCTAAACTTTTGGGTTTGGGAGTGCTATTAAAAGCAGTGGATGGAGCTTCACAGAATAGAAACTACTTCGTGCCCCAATGCAAAGAGAATTTTCCCAGGCTTGTACACTCACTGAATACTTGCTAATGAGTTTTTCATTGTCCACCCTTTCATTTATGTTCTTTCTTTACACTCTCTGGAGCTGTGCAAGAAAAGTGAAATAAAGTAATGCAAATGGACAGCAGGAAGACATCTCTACATTACTCATTCCCTGTTCCTCTCTTCCCCATTTCCTGCCCCCACATTAAGTAATCTCCTTTATACCAGACCCTCTAGCCTCTCTCTCCTCTTGCAACCTATATCCCTGACCATGTAATTCTGCAAACATACAGCTCCCATCATATCACACCCTTCAAAACATCCTCAGTCGTGTTGGGAGCTATTGAATCAGGAGTTATTAAGGCAGCAGTTCTCTCCACTGCTGGTATTTCTTCCATGTGTAGGGAATGGGATCAGCTGCATTGCTCTGCTTATCCGCCCATCTCACTCATTACTTCTCTTGCCTGACAGAAGGGGAAGTAGCTCATCTCAGTGGTCAGTCCAGGAAGTAATACATGCACTCCTTGCCTACCCACTCCGCTGCCCTTCCCTTGGGGAGCATAGGGCCTGAAGGCAGCAAGTAGTTTTTATGTCCCCCACCCCCACAGGTCCTAAGATTTGTTGGGTTGCTCTGTCCACTGTTACCACCACTGGGAAGGTAAATCTGTCTGGAACCCAGTATTAGGAAGCCTGTTTGAGTCTCCTGCTAAGATGCTTCATCCGGTGTAGCCATTTTCAGCTGTAAAGGTGATATCCTGGCTGTGTCTATACCTGCCTGTGCTTTATTTCTCAACTGGTTTAGCACTCGGGCCAGGACAATGGGTACTTTTTGTTAGATGCCCTGTGAATGCTTACAAACATGCTTCCATTGTCTGAAAACAAGCAGGGTCCTTGGCATTTGAGGTCTTCCACCCGCCCCCCACCCCCCAAAAGAAAGATTATCATCAACTTTCAGGGCCCAGGGCCCACTATGCTGTGTCCTTGGGTATGCGAAAGATCTGAGAGCAACCACCATTCTGGGCTCATCTGACATCCTAGAAATGCTTCATTTTTTCTTTCTTCCATATGGTAAGCTCTACTCCTTCAGCTCCCTGGCATTTAGGCCCATCAAAATTATGCCACCCAACCCTACTCCAAGTATAAGCTCAGCTATATGCCCTTTTCTGCATGCCTTTCTTGGTCCTGAGGGAGGGATCTGAGTTCCCTCTTCCTTGCTGCATTTCTTATTCTGCTTCCTCTGCCAGGAACTGTCTCCTCCTGCCCACTGCCCCCATGCCCCTCCCTCACAAACCTGTCTGACCACCACTTATCTCTGAGCTCTCCAACTGATGCCTTTACCTCTGAAGCTTCCCTTGAGCCCTCAGGAGTGTTGGGTGGTCCCCCTAAGTGCTTCTATAGGATCCTGAATACCACTAAATACTCGGAAGTAAATGCTCTGCCTACTTGTCTCAAGAAGTTTATGAAGGCATATAGATAACACTTGCAATTATGTACAAGCCCAAAGAGAACAGAACTGCCACTCTAGATGGTAAATGCCTATGTCCACATAGAAACCAGAAGTAAATGCCCAGTGAATAGAGGCCCAGACGGGGAGAAGCTCGGAATGAGTAACTGGAATCAGGGAGGCCTTTCCGGAATCCTCTAGTCCTCCAGGGGGAGGCTCTCTTAAGAGGGAGTTATCCTATCGAGTGTCTAGCTTCTAAGCTGGTCAGTGAATTAAAGATATCCTATCATTAATTCAACTGCCCAGAGGTTAATAAGGGGCCAAGATTCCTAGTCCCTGGATTCAACGAAGTTAAGGGAGAGCATCCAGGCCCCCCAGAATAAATCCAGTGAGAAAAGGGTCTTGGATCTCAGCCCTCCCCCATCTCCTGAGCACAAATGCCAAAGAGTGGTGTGCAGCAACAGCAGGTTGCAGCTCAAATGACACGTCTGAATATCGAGGCCACTGCATTTTTCTCACTGGCTCGAAGCTTGGGAAGTCTGATATGACTCTTTGAAGTCTGCTCAGTGCACAGGGAATGTGTGGATTTTCTGGGGCCTCTGACAATATGGGGAGAGATAAGACCCTCTTGGGCTCAAGTATCAAGAGGCTTTCTCAACTTTATAAATGCTGCTGGGAAAAGGAGGAGAGCTAAAACTCTCCTTTAACAGGAGAGATTTTTAACAGGAAGTCTCGAACCCATCTTGCTTCTAAGTTAGGCTAAGAAGAATAAACTCATGGCTTATTCTTAGGGGATGGTGTCACAGTCAATCTGGGCGGGAGGAGTACTGATCAAAATTGCTGTAGGGCCCTAGTCAGTTTTCTCAGTGTATAGAGCATCGGCCTGCAGACTGAAGGGTCCCTGTTTCAATGCCAGTCAAGGACACATACCTGGGTTGTGGGCTTGATCCCCAGTGGGGAGCTTGCAGGTGATCTCTCTCATCATTGATGTTTCTATCTCTCTCTCTCTCCCTTTCTAAAATCAATTAGGATATATGTATATATTTTTAAATTGCTGCAGGAAGGGCTTCTGAGGGATGCCCTTGGTAGGCCCTATCAGGACATGACCAGGGCACTTCCTCATTTCCCCAATTAAAATGCTTTATACAGAGCATCTTGTTCTTGTTCCTTTTCTCATGCTGGGGTATTACTACCAACAACATTGCACACACTGAATGACCATGTTCCAGGGGGCCTGGGGCAAACACGCGATGCAGTGGCACAGTACCGATTTGGGTGAGCCACTTGGCCACTGCACCGTAGATCTCATCCAGGATGAGGATGACCACAAGGTTGATGATGACCGCTGTCGCTGTCACTGTCACCCGGACGTTGGAGCGTGTGTCCTTGTTGAGAGACAGAGCAGCTGCAGTTGTGATACGGTACACAATGACCGCAAAGACAATGGAGAAGGTCAAGGCAATCTGCAGAGGAAAAACAGGGAGAGTCACACTTCTGCAGACAATTATTGAGCACTTATCATTTGCTCAGCCAACAGTATTATTGGCTAAGCCAGGTATTATTAACCTGGAGTTCATTGGTGGGAAACAGGGAACTGCAAACTCCTTAAATATTCATGCAAATTCTAAATACAGATAAAATTTTCAGGAGAAAGTGTCTTCCATTTTTATCAGATTCCAAATGGTCCACAATACACCAAAAAATTAACAATGGTGTGTACCATGCACGTAATGTGATTCCTTTTAGTAGAGAGCTTTCAATCTGCTATGGAGAAAAGGCAACTTCCTATTAAATCATAGTAAAAAATACCTGAAAAATGTATTAAGTGCAAAATGAAAAATATAGTTGTTAAAGAGTCTGAGAGTACAAAGGAGCTAGTAGATCTGAGTGCTCAGGGAATAGTTTGTGGATCAATGGGATTTAAACTGGGACTCAATGAAAAGACATAGTGAGCCATTGAAAGTGTTTGAGCTAAGTAGGGGTGAGTGAGAGCTTAATGGGGTGTATGTGGGAAGGTTGACTAAAGGAGAAGAAAGGGAGAGAAAACAGGCAGGAGTGATATTTTCACTCACAGTTCTCAGGATGAATAAAATATCACTTTAAATTTCTCTATCAGGCAATTTGAAATGGAGGACTCTGATATCTCATTTTGTGCCAAAACTTCTATGTTTAAAAGGAAAATTAAGCAGCCACGTGACCTCAAAGCCTGACCCCTCATTTCTTCTTTCTAGAACCTAAGACTTATAAGACACTCTCCCTTTCACGCTCCCTCTTCTCTTATCACAGCCAAGAAAGGGCCATTTCCCTGAAGCACAGAATGTCAGGAGAAGAACAGGTCCCGAGTAAGCCTTTTAGATGGGTGCAGAAGGAAGAAAGGGAGAAGCTAGGTGTTTAACCTGCTCAGAGAAAAACTATAATTTATTCCAGTCAAGTGAAGTCTTCTTTCTTAGGATTCTTTTTGCAAAGGAGGCTGTTTAGGTCCTATTTCCTCTGGGACAGGGAATAGTGAGGTGGGCACTGGCTATGTAGGACTAAATAGAAAACATGGGGAGAGAAAAGAGCAGGTAAAAAGGTTCCCTCTGAGAAAAACAATCTGTCCTGGACTGTGTATTTTCTCCCTAAAGAGGAGGGGGCGGGGCTCAGGCTTGGGCAGTGCTTTGCAAGCTGTGTGAAGGACACTCTAGTATGCAACAAATGAGGAATGGGTTTGAGATGTGTCTGAGTTATGGATGTCTTCAGGTTTCTAGGGGGTACCTGGGAGTGCTGACGCCTGGAGTGTGCTGGTAGCAGCCTCAGATGTTTATTCCCATGCACTTTACAAATATCAGTGCCTGTCCTGTGGGCCATAGTGTGAAAAAGAAGCCTTCCCTAAGCACAGAGAATGTAGTGTTCTCTGAGTAAAGGGAAAATGTGTGTGTGTATGCCCAAGTGGAGGAGAGGTTAGATGGGAAAGTCACTCTGTGGGAGATCCCTCTTCGGAGGCAGGCTGGGGGTATGAGTAGCAGCAACCCCAGCCTTTAGGTCTAAGGAGGAATGACTACCATGTAAGAGGGGAAACTTGGATGTGACATCACTGCTCTTCAACAATGTAGACATTTTCATTTCCCGTTCCTCTGAGATTGTCACTGCCAGACAGTAAGGGCCTGGAAAACATAGTGTGAGATTCTTTTTCCCCAAAATCACTTTTGCAGTGAAGGATCATGATGGAAGTGGAAGTAATAATGAGGCGGGGGCAGCCAGGGCATGGGGGGAGGGGAGAGAAACGACTGGGCAGGAAATCAGCTTCGATGCTCCTTCTCTAAAAGGCCCAGCTGCTAAACTGGGGAAGGAAGAACACTCCTCCTGGCTACACAGAGTGTGATCCCTGGGACCTGCTCCATCAATTGGGAACTTGATAAACATGAAGATCTCAAGCACAACTCCAGACCTAACTCTGTCTGCATTTTAACAAGATTCCTATTCAAGTTCCAGAGGCACTGCTCTCCTCGCTCAAGAAATCTCATCTTCCCATCGTCTCTACATCCTCAGCCCCACCTCCAACATGACCCTCCCAGCCTGCTGATGCTGTTCTTTGCCATCTTAACTTCTCTGATCTTAATTTTCCATCCCATCATAGAAATCAGGTTTTGAACCTCTCCTTCAGAGCTCCCCACAAGCATCTCAAGATTCACAGTTTTCAAACTGGAAGAGCTTGGAGAGCACCAGCCCAGTCCCTTGGCCATCAAATAGACCAGGAAACAGATATGGAAAGTGATTTTCTCAAGGTTGCAAGGCAAGGACTACTACCCTAGTTTCCTGGATCATCATGGGAAGGAAAAAAATTTTAGCATTTAAGGCTCATTCATGTTTAGCCTTTTATCTCACATATAAGGGCCCAAGAAACAGCAATGTGATTGATCCAAGGTCTGGAGAGTACATGGAAGAGTTGATACACTAATGATGATAACATCATCCTCAACATCTGATCCATTTGTATCCACTCTATGTCATTATTAAATGCATATCTTCAGAAGTACTAATACTTATAGTAGCACTAATGTCCCATCCTGACATTAGAATCCATGCACTCTGGCACTAAATCCAGGACTATTTTCACCACTTTAGCTGCATTATTGATTTTATTGATTAAATTCAATAAATACCTTCCAACCACTTATTGTGCAAACCACTGTACTGGGAATATTTCATGCTTATGAGCAGTCTCCCCAACTAGGCTAAAAGCAGGGATTGGTCTTGTGCTGCATTCTGTGCCTCCATGTTTGGTAATGATTTTCTGATCCCATACACATGGTCACATTATCATGGTCCCTGTTGCTTTTGGTGTTTTAATCCCATAATATACTGCTGGGCACAGCCAAATTGCAATGGAAGCCAGGTGATAGCCCTATTTGACATTCTAAGAGAGACAGAAATGGGAACAGGTCCCGACACTCTAGGACTTACATTCTGAAGTGAATTTGAGAAAAATCATTGCACACATAACAACTGTTGAGCCTAGTAGCAGCTGGACAGAGTCACAGGCCTTAGTTCCTGAGTTTCTGGTATGCTCTGAGCAGACAGCAGGGGGATTTGTTAAAGGAAACTCCACAGAAGCAGCTTTGAGACCATTTTCTATGGGAAAGGCTTGAAGGAAAGAATAAGGAGGGGCAAATAGAAAAGCACAGGCAGAAGTAACCTCTGGGAGAAGCAACTAGAAGGAGAGCGCCCAGTCTAGGGCATAACATGTAATAGTAGCTCAATTTTTAAAATTATACACACTAGTGACTTTATCATTGACATAATAAGTTGTCTCTGGGATCTTCCTAATTCACTTATTTTCTCATTCAGTCATTCATAAAAGATGTCTTGACTACCTACTATAGGCCAGTCACCATTTTTAGGTGTCAGGGATATAATGATGAACAAAGATAAAAATTTCTTGGGCATTGATCTTCTAATGAGGAAAAATAGCATATATATATCAGCCCAATATGCAAATTGTCCCCACAGGAGTTCAACCGGGAGACCCATTACTTACTATGACATGTGCTGACCACCAGGGACAGCACAGAATGAAGGGAGAGGCCCTGGCCAGTAGTCGGAAGGCCCTAATCTGCCCTGATCATCAGCTAGGCCTAGGAACCCTATTCATGCATGAATTTCATGCACCAGGCCTCTAGTAAACTAATAAATAGGTAAAATATATATTATATCTGGTGTGATAAATCCTATGGAAACAAATAAAGCAGAATAGAGGCATAGGGAAAGGTTGCAACTTAAAATAGGGTGGTCAGGAAAGGCCTGAGTGAGAAGATGACATTTCAGCAAGGACCTAATTGTATAAAGAGAGAGTTGGAGTGAAAGATGAATGGTGGAGAGAAGGAGAGCCAGCCCTTTATTATAAGGATCTACATCTCATGAGATATGAAAGACTTTAGAGAGGTTTTAGCAGAGGAGTGACATTATCAGACCCAGATTTTACAAAGATTAGTAGAGGGACAGCCTAAAGGCAGCGAGATAAATTAGGAGGCCATTGCAATAATCCAGGCAATGGAGGAAGGTTTCTAATGGCTGGTTCCCAATAGATGAATTAAGTAAATGATTGTCTTGGGCTAGGAGGAGCGCTTAGGTTCCTAGCTCTAGAAGAAGGAAGAACATTGCCTCTGATAACCCCCTGTCCTGTAAAAAGAAAATCAGAAAGAAAAAAGAAAAGAAACTAGCTCAACATTCTGGGTGAGGAAAGAAAGAGAAAATTTATCTTCATTCATGCTGCCTCTATCACAGTGGGAAGATGGACACAGCATGTGACATTTTCTTGGCTCTTATCATCCTATGAAAAACATCCCCAGCTGATCTGGCAGCCTGGCATCCCTAAAAACATCCTCATGGCCCTGGTCCTGAAATCTTCTGCCAAGGTTCAGTCACAGGGGACAGAGAAGGGAATGATATTTGATACTCCAGTTTGTTGCCTAAATTTCATAACATAGTACTCTTTTATAAACACCCCCTGACCCCTTGGCCCCATGCTCTACACAGTGTTCTAGGGTAATGCCCCGGTCCTCACGTATGATGAACTAGGCTATGAATTCACAATGGGGATTGCCCATGGCCACTTCTCAGAGTTTGTTTTCCTTTTTCTCCCTGTTCTCCTTGGAACACAATTTTCTCTGCAGTTCCATAAGTGGGGAATGAGGTACATTTAGTTCTATCATCTTTATTCTGAGAATGTAGCCCTTTGAAGTTCCGATTTAATTTGGTGAGTACCTCCTATTAGAATTTCAATTCTGAGCCAACCATTCTCCATACTTTCTACCCTCCTTGCCCCATAAAACCACCAAAACCAAAGCTGTTGGCCAAATAGGAAAATACCCTCAAGGAAAAAGCATCTCCCATTTTCCCTTAGAGTTAGCCTCATTATCCTGTCAGACCTTCAAGGCTTTAAGAAGATTGAAAAGCAGGCCTAGCTGCCATGGCTTAGTGATTTGAGTGTCAACCTATGAACTAGGAGGTCACAGTTTGATTCCTACCCAGGGCACTGGGGTTGGGGGCTCGATCCCCAATGAGGGGGCAGGCAGGAGACAGCCAATCAATAGTTTTCTCCCATCTTGATGTTTCTATCTCTCTCCTTTCCTCTCTGAAATCAATTAAAAAAATTTTTTTAAAGAGAACATTAAAAAATATATTTATCCAGTATTTGGGGGAATTAGTTTCAGCATGATGGGATATTACAAATATCTTAATCTATCACTACTGGGGGTAGAACTATTTTACTTATCTGTTTTATTATTTATGTATATATTTATTGTCTATAAACTCCTTGAGGGAGGAATTATTTTGTTTTATTTTCTGCTCTACCCCCACTGCCTAAGAATAGTGTCAAGCACATAGTTGGCACCCATTAAGTATTTCTTGAATGAATGAATAATCTCTGACAACAAGATGCATATTGTGGGAGGCTTTGAAGTGCTAAATTAAACTTTTCTATCATTCCAGCTTAACACATTGCAATTCACCACATGTTGTTGAATAAATTCTACATGCCTTGCTCTTGTTAAACAATGGGAAGATAACAAATGTAGACTTCTAAGTTCTGGCAAGACACACATCACCTTTGCAGTTCATCTGTGAAACAAGTTGTTGAATTAGATCCTTCCTTCACTTTTTAAATTTCTGACACTAGGACATGGTTCCTGTCCTCAATGGTCAGGATGCAATAATAATGACAATAATAACCTTGGGCCAGGATCAGTTACCTATGGTCAATAGATCCAGCAAATCATTATAGTCCTATTTTTTTTTTTAATAAGCAATCTCTCAAGTCCCCTTCCCCTCCCCCCGCACCCCTTTCCCCAGAACTAATGTATAATCCTGCTTAGAAATGCTATCAGGATACACCTCTCCTCTGTAAAATGAAAGCTCCAGTCTTGAATATTAGAAGGATTCTACCTATAAAGAAGTGGCTCATGCTTAGTCCTCTGAGTTTCATACTTTGTTATTTTCAGCAAGATGGGATGTTACAAATCTCCTAAGATCTTCTTGCTTCAGTTACTGTTGGCTCACTCATCCTGGCTCCCAAGACCAACCTGCTACCACTTTATTAATATGACTCAAATGTGAATCATAGACCCCTTCTTTACCTACCCTGACATAGCTGAGACCATCTGGGTCTCTCAAAAAGGCCCTCTCAAACTCTCAGGGAGAACACAGAGAAATAAACACAGCAACTGCAGGGAAACGAAAAAATCAGCTTAGAAAGTCCAGGCTGGTTGTCTCCTGTGGCTTCCAGACTCTGTTCTATTCCACAAACCATCAGAGACAGCTAGCCCACAGCTTAAACAGGCTGCCACAATTCTGCAGCTATCTTACTTTGATTACTTATTTTGAGGTCTTGGTCTATCCCAATGTGAAGGTACCATCTCATGACCTACTCCCTGGAAGTTCCAACTTCAAATATCTGTGGTCAAGGCTGAGAAGGTAGAACCCCTTTCTACTCTCCTCTTTCTCAGAAGATTAAAACTCTTTCCATAGACACAGAGGTCACTGACCCTTTCCAGGTCTGGTTTTCTGTGTGAGAAAATCACCTTCCCTTCTTTAGGTAACTGATACCAGCAATGGCCTCGCTGTCAGATAAGATCCTATCTTTCTATACAGGGACTGTGGCTTCATCTTTATTAGCCCCTCGTGATTCCCAAAGCATTACAGAACAACACACCCACAACATTCACTTAACAGGATCTAACAAGCATAAGTCATAGGCAGATGTTCCCTCAAGGAAATTACCATGAACAAGATGGAGACGACGTTTATCAGGTAACCTGGGAAGCGATCTTTCCAGGTAAGCTTATCTTCATCATCATCCTGGGGAGAAACAGAAGAGGAGAGACAATCAGAAAGCACAAATAACAGGTAATAATTTTCCTTTAATTTTGCATACATTTGCACATCATTAATCATTCTATATAGATATTTTTCTAGTCTCTGATATCTTACCTCCCATATTAACAACAGCTCTTCTAATTTTGTGATTTCTAGATAGCCTGGTGAAAAGAGGACATGATTTGGGTTCAGCCTAATTCTTGGCTGAAGTTTTAAAATGTCCAACCACTTATCAGCTGTGTGATCCTTAACTTTTCTTACCCCCTATTTCTTCATTGTAAAATGGGCACAGCCACAATACCAATCTTGCCTACCACACAGGATGATTTTGTTTGTTTTGTTTTAATGAGAAACATGTGAACATGTTAAAGCAATAGACAAATGACATATACAACCCAACCACAGGGCAACATCTTAAAATAGATCATTCTTTAAATAAAACATCAACTGTAGATCCTATTCAGTGTACAAATTACCCACAATTTTGCTCTTCAAAGAACCTGCATGTGTTATCATTTGTTTACTCCAAAAATGACTGTGTTCTCTGCTGATCACAAATGCAGATATTTCTAGGTAAAGGCTAAGTGATCAGTCCGGCTGAGAACCTTATCTTTTCTCCTCAGACTGGGTCCAGTACACCCAGGGGCCGCTCTCTGAGACAAGTATACAGCAGACCAGAGTCTTTCGGCATACTCTGAAGACCCTCCTGTGGTCTGGTGAGGCCAAAAAGGTATGTATAAAGATAAAAATCTGTCAAGTAAATTCCATGTAAATTTAGTCCAGGCACTTGCTTTCTCTGAGCTGCAGCTCTATAGAATTAAAACTGATACAGGGTTGTTGTGAAGTCTATTTGAAGATATGTTCATAAAGATGCCATGAAAATGGCAAAGCATGTTACTCTGGTAAGGTCAGAGCCCTACATTTCTGCAATGCATCTGAATCAAGCTCAGCCAGCCCTCCTTTGGTCTCTCTTCCCTCCTCACCACTATTTCAGAATACACCTGATTTGGCTCTAGCAACAGTGCCATCTAGCCTTTGAAAGCTTGTACTGTAGGCAAAGAGCCTTTTTGGCCTAGGAGACATCTTTCTAAAAATCCTTATATGTCTAATATGTGCAGACCTTGGTGCCAGGAATGGTGGGAGACAGACAGGGTTGTGACCACTGCCCCTGGGGGCTTGCAATCTAAGAAGACAGAAGTAGCACACACATACCAAAAGCTTCAGGGAGCATCTGCCAGTGTGGGAGAGGGAATTATCTTGGGCATGAGCCTTTGGGGCACTCAAAGAAAGAAATTATGTGTCTTTCCTATTGCATGTCTGGAGCTGAGCACAGGGTTGAACTGGCTTAATAAATGGGGGTAGAAATGAGTGTTAAGGCTGAAGTCATTTAATAATTAGCACTTTCATTTACAGATGATGGAAACAAGGGATACTCAGTTTTTCTTAGACCTGGTGATAAAATCAGGTCTCTAGACTCCTAGCCCGGCAGACTTTTCATCACACAATTGAGAACAAGGGAACTACAGGTTGTGACCAATTTGAATGAATGAGAGCATATAAATCTCTTTCCATTCAGATCGGAACAATACTCATTCATATGCTTCCAAATTAGGCCAAACATCAAAAGGGAGTAGCACTTCTTTCTGTTTTCTTCAGTATAATAATTCATTTTAATCACACTTGTAATATTTTCCTTTAAGATTTTGACAAGGGGAACTGAAGATGGGTTAGTGTTAGTGTTAGGGTTAGGGATTCTGCTAAGAAAATAAGGGGGTGCATGGCAGGACTCTCCTTGGGGTCTCCCTTATTACAATGAAGGTTTTGGTGATTTTTTGACTCTTTTTCTGCTCTCTGGCCTAGAGATAAGACATTCTGCCTTAAAACCCAGCAAACCAGATGTGTTCTGAAATATCGGTAGTGAGTAGAAAAGAGAGAACTCCGGTTCATAGGTTCCATGTTATCAATTGCTCCATAAGGGGGCTTTGTGAGTGAAGAACAGAGAGGCAGAAAAACACATGTTTGGTCCCTGAAATTAGAGGAAGGGGTGAGAAACATCAGGGTGAGTCTGGGTCCAAAATGGCCCTCAGGGCAGAGTTGGACAGTCCTGGAAGAAATGGGGGAAAGGGAAGTATGAGCAGAGGATTGGGAAATATGGCCCATGATGAAATGGGTTCAAATAAATAAGTACAACTGTAGAGGATGACTAATAAACCTGTGGAGGAGTCAGGACTCTGAGATGACTTTGGTTAAGGTTTCATGCCAAATAGTTGTCCACCTTCTTCAGGCCAGGGACCAAGGGGGTGCAATGTCTTTGGAGCAGCCTCTACCCTGCAGTGAAAACTCTATCCTGGAGAATGAGTTTTGGACAGCATGGTCTTAGCACCTTGGAGGGCGGGCTCTGTGCTGGATACTGAGGACACAGTGAGGAGAAGGCTCAGCCCTGCCCAGAAGGAGCTCAAAGACCATAGCAGAAACAAAAAATCACCAAAACCTTCATTGTAATGAAGGAGACCCCAGGGAGAGTCCTTGCCATGCACCTTCTTATTTTCTTTGCAAAATCCCTAACCCTAACACTAACATTAACCCATCTCCTTGCCACTGGCAAGAAAGGTGGCATTACTATTTTGCATAAGAAAGAGATGTATCTAAAAAGCAATTGACTTGGTTGACCTCTCAGAGCAACTATCTTAAAGAAAAATATTCATTTTGACACAGATGTTCTGGTGTTTATTGAGAAATCACCTCTTCTCATGATTATATTTGTGAGCTCTTTTTTGCCTGCAAGTTATAGCTTCTATCTCACACATTGAGACACTATCCAAACACAAGAGGCTGAGAGAAACACAAACATTGCCGACCATCCTCAAGCTCTTTACTGGTAAAGAGGACATTGAGTAAAGCGGACTTTGTGTATAAAAACTGGTTCTGATAATGAAAGCTAATTAAAACTCTCCATTCACTGGCACATTAAAGATGTGAAGTTTCATGGCAGAATTTGATTACACTCTGCATAAGTATCACATAACCAACCTACAAGGTAATAAAATGAGAAGTAGCCTTGAGACCAGAACATAGGAGTTTAACTCTTGGCTCTATTCTCAGAATCTCAGTTTCCTCATTTGTAATTATATTTGTTATCTATAAATGTGTAAAATGGTAGTATCTGTAACACCAAGTTACCATGCTTTTTAAATGAATTAGCAACCCCATGGAGAGGGCCACGCCAGTGCACCTGCACACAGAGGTTGGTGAGAACTCTTAGCGCCTCCCTCTTCTTTTAAAACAGAGATGATAATCCTTATCCTACCTAAGTGGCAGAAGCATTGTGCAGATCACATGAGTGAATGCCCCTGAGAGAGCTTTGTAAACTGTAAGGCATCAGACAAAAGTAAGGTCTAATCAGCTTGATGATTACAGCAAAAGCAGGTGATTAGAAAGCACTTAGCTAATGTCACCATTGTTAAGACATCAGCCTAGCTGTCACCTGTGTTTGTTTCTTTGTCTTTGCTGTCTTGTTTCTTTCCCTGGACTATGGCTCCTACTTCCAGGTCTCCAATAGCAAGTAGCACAGTGATAGTCACATATCTATGGAATTGTTATTTTGAAAATATTTATATTCAGAATATGTATTCTCTGTACTATCTTAGAAGCTTTTCTGTATGCATGCATATACACACGTGCGCGAGCACACACACACACACACACAAACACACAGACACACTCCACACCCAGATTTCCCTATTACATTGTATGGATACATCTTTTCACAACCAATAACCCAATATTATAATTATTAATTTAAGTTCACACTTTAATTGTATTTTATTAGTTTTTACCTGTTGGCCCTTTTCTGTTCCAGGATCCTGTCCAACACATTATATTTAGTCACCATGTCTCCTCTAGATTGTGATAGTTTCTCAGACATGCCTTGTTTTTTAATGACCTTGACAGTGTTGAGGATTACTAGTCAAGTATATTGTGGAATGTTCCTCAATGTGGGTTTGTCTTAAGTTTTTCCCATAATTAAGCTAAGGTTGTAGGTTTGGGAGAAAGACCACAGAGATAAAATGCATGTTATCCCTTTATATCAAGGATGCAGGCTATAATATGACCTAACACTGAACATGTTAACCTTGATTGCTTGGTGGAGGTGGTGTGTTTAATAGGTTTCACTACTTCAAAGTTACTCTTTTTTCCTGTACCTTACTTTTTCTTTATAAGGAAATCACTATACGCAGTCCACATTTAAAAAGTGAGAGTTGCCGAAGCCAGTTTGGCTCAGTGGTAGAGCGTCGGTCTGTGGACTGAAAGGTTCCAGGTTCGATTCCAGGCAAGGGCATGTATCGATACATTGGTTGCGGGCACATCCCCGGTAGGGGGTGTGCAAGAGGTAGCTGGTCAATGTTTCTCTCTCATCGACGTTTCTAGTTCTCTATCTCTCTCCCTTCCTCTCTGTAAAAAATCAATAAAATATATATTTTTTTAAAAGTGAGAGTTAGGCACCACTTTCTTAAGAGAATAATGTCTACAAACTCCCCTAGGTTTTAATCCCAAGTTTTATATTTTGGATTTTCTTAAGGTGGGCCTATAGAGAAGAGGGTCAAAAATGACAAGGAAATCCCAAGTTTAATTTGGGCAATGCTTCCTATAGCACAGGCCCAGGGGCCATTCGTTCTGTTCCAAAGCAACCCAATCATCCATTGTGATCCTGTTCTGTCATTCCAGTCCCATTCTCCTCTCAGACACAGCTACTTAATGCTCTCTCTGCTGGGTGAGCCTTCAAGACCTCTCACAAACAACTCTTACTCTAGAAACACAGATCCTACCAACTCACTATCTTCTTTCTCTTGGTTCTCTCTCCTAAAACAGCTCCTCCTCCAGGCAGCCTTCCTGGCCTGACCTTGAGGCCACTATTTGACTGTATATCCCTCCCTTCACTGAGCTTAATACATGCTCCCTCTTTCTCCCTCCCCCCCAATCAT